TCCACATTAAGGATCATTTGTACGTTCCACTGGTTTGTAGTGCTGGGGTTTTGTACAACTTTGTTTTGATCTTTGGTGCCCTCTACTGTCAAGATAAAAAGTTAATATTCAAAGCAATATCCACTACTCACTTTACATTGTATTAACTTTTTATTTCTTGTGTAAAACGTGATTTACAACTTTATAGATTCACTCTAAGTACTCTTAATTCATCTGTGTGCCTCATAAAATCTACTGCCCGAAACACAAAGCGGAGGGTGGAGGGTGTCTAGTGTAACTTTAGTAAAATTAGATTCTGTGCACTCTTCATAATGTAAACCAGTGATACTAGCCTTGGCTCTGGGAGATGACTGTGCCTCCAGGATTTTGTTTGCAGCTGAGCTCTTAATCTCTAGTGCTCAGTGATGACTAGTTTAAATGATTACAATCATCTGCTTGTGGTATAGACTTTCAGGGACAGTGTTTTTGTACTCATTCGTACTATTACTTACCTACTTCGAGGGTAGTTTCCACAATCTTTGGCATAAAGAATTTTGAGCAGTCTCTCCTTAACACAATTACTCTTATTTTTGACTGAACAGCTTGATTGTTTATCAAGTAAAGACAAGACAGTTGGGAGTGACCGTGTATCGGACACTCCCACATTATGTCAGGCAGCACACCTGAATGGGGTGAGTTCTGAAACTCAGCAAGGGGTACAAGCTCGATACGAGTTACAGGTGCTGTTTCACCTTTTAAGATCTGAAAGCAAATTTTAAAATATGTCTGAATAAGAAATTGAGAGCAATAAGAATTTACCTGGAGCAAAAATTAAGAAGTCCTGGACACAGTAGCCCCCACAGGACAATGATGGGGGGAACCTTGGGATTAAACTCCATTATTTCCTAGTCTAAAGCTATCCTAGCAATGATCACCCAGCTTTACTTCTGTAATTGAAAAGCCTGGATTCAGCGATTTCCAGTTTATATATAACACACTCTGACTTTCTTTTTACTAAAAGACCTTAATTGGCTTTTTCAGTTTGTCTTGATTTGGTGAAATACAGTTTGTCATTTTTTAGAAATCTACAACTGTAACAGTGGCACAGTGACATCTAAACTGGGATTTTCACAATGAACACTAATATTAATTTCTCATGATAAACCATGAGTGTCAAGTACACTTTAGTATTTGTAGAAAGTCAATTCAGATCTACAGTATTGGGTCAATTAAACTGATGGTGCTGAACCTCTTTATTTTGAAGGAGCTGTTTGATAATAAACATTCACTTAAGAGCTGTAAACATCATATCAACCTGCTTAGCTTTGATTTCAGTGTTCAGGCATCTGTAGTGAAGTCAAGTCAAAATGGAAACCAATATCTTTCCTTTTTAAAAAGCAAGCTAATTTAAAGCTGAAAGGAATGAAAAAAACTCGATCGGAACTAAAGCTGGGAACTAAACCAAAAGCAAGGATTTGGGAAAACACTGAAGAAAGAAACCACAGGTATAATTACAAATCATGTAAGACTGTGTCAGCCAAATGGAACTTTTATAACTGATGACTGAAAAAAATATGAAAGCTGTCAAGGAAAACCCCAAAATGTCTATCTGTGAAACTGGCAATAAATTTCAGACTGCAGAGGTGAAGGTGTCAAAATCCTTCACAGAAGACTGAGATTTCAGAATTTCAGAGGCTGCGTTACAAGATGTAAACCTACCATCTGTACAGAGAACAAAATAAAACGGATAAGAATTTGCCAAGATGTATAATATGCCAGAAGTTTTGAAACAAAGTTCTATGGACAAATGAGACCAAGGTAAACCTTTATTGAAATGATGGAAAGTGTGGAGAAAGAATGCTCCTACAGATGCTCCAAAGAACACCTCTTTATCTGTGAAACATAATAGAGGTGACTGGTACCAGTTTTCTTACCTTTATAGATGATGGACCTTATTATGGCAGTAGCAGAAGAAACTGAAACGTACAGAGACAACTGTCTGCTTTTCTAGAAGGCTCCACAGCCGAAACATTGTGTCTCTTGACCTTTCCTTTCAGCATGGAATAAACCTTTTCTTGTTCCTTAGCAGCCTACGCATGCTGACACAGCTACCTACTTGAACTTGACTTTTCGAGAAGACAAAACTACTGTATTTATAATTATTGGGTGAATTTCACCATGCAGAAGTACAATAACCCAAAACATCATCAAGAGGTCAAACTGAGCATCCATTTTACATGCTGAAGAGCAAATTGAAGTAAGAACACCTTCTCTAAGAACAGGCAAAAATGTAAGGTGACTGCAACAAAAGCTCAACAAAGCATTTCACACGATTATGAAGAAACTCGCAAGTTAAATGAATCATGCAACCAATTACTGAATTTTTACGCTCGTGTACTTTATATGTCCCTATATTTTGTGTCCTCGCTGGGTTGAATACAAAGTATGCTCCCGTTCAAATACGATCAAAAGGCATGCATGTAATTATCCCAAAAGTTTCTTCACATCTTTCTTTCCAAACCAAACGGGAACTTTCAATGTGCAAGACCTAAAACTGGTTGATTCAGGAGTGTCTTTGTACTGGAATTCCCCCCATGCTTTCAACAGAATCCACTTACACAACATCACCAAACTTTAAAACGGCCACCAGCAAGTTTTCACTGACTGCAGACACCTCTTTTAAATTCTTCCCAGAATTACCATACAGTCCTGCATACTCTGAATTGTAATTAGACCAGAAAGGTCTAAAAGTTGGTTAGTTACCCTTAAACAGGTTTAAATGAGGCACTGCATCCCTACCAAATTACTATTGTTGCTTAATTAACATGCATAGTTATCTTCAATTGATTTTACAAGTCAGAAAATAATACATATTTTCTTATCAGGAGATAGACAAACAGTATATTGAAAATTCAGGTAAACACAAAAGTATTTATGGCAAGATTTAAAAGGAACATCATAATTGTACTCCTCACATTCCACATAAAAAAACTTTTTTATTGCCATAAAACATTTGTAAAATGGGTACTTAAGAATCATTATCCAAAATGATCAAAGACATTCATTCATGATTTATTGCATCATAAAGGCCATAAATCCCCTCCTGACACATTAGCAACTCATAATTCTTCCATCTAAAGCAAACAAAGTATTAGCTTTGGCCACATCTGACCAATTGACTTTCTCCTCATTGAGTACTGATGGACTTACAACAATCCAACCACTGAATCTCTTTTCTTTTGCACCCGTGGATTATGCTGGGACCTTATGAAAGTTATCTTTAACATCAAAATATGTTAAAGATAAAATAATCTGATAAAAATGTCAGTCTCTGAATTATTTGAGCACTTCCAGCATAAAAGGTTTTTAATATATTGCCTGAACTAACAGTATAGTGTTAAAAATGTTAAAAACAAGGTTTTCTTTGCACCACTTGTATCACAAGAAACCGGTAAGTACAGATTGGCAAGATAATTGTTGTAGACGTTGTTTATCTAATCGTGAGACATTTTGTCTTTGGAAAAGCCTTAGTCTTACTATAGTTCCTTCACATTTTTATTTTAACCATGATCTTTAATCCCTGCCTTAACAACCTTCCCTAAATTTTAAGGTGCTGGCAATGAAGCTCCTGAACTGCAGCTCTCCACGACAAAGCATGTTTTACAGAAGCCTGCTTTTACCACAGCATAATGTAATGTGAAACCCCAACACATGCAGAAGGCCCTCCACGCATTAGAAGAGAAGAGCCATCATCTGCACAAATACATCTCTGTAATGCAGTTTGTCTTCTGCACAAACAGCTTCTAGGAAGCATAAGACAGCACTCTGCTGCATTGCACATGTTCTGCTAAAATTCCTCAAGACCTCATGAATAGTTTAAAACTTCAGAAAAAGAAAATTGCAGAGGTTGGTATGCAGACAGCGTCTCAAACTCCACTCCCTCAGGAATCTCAAAAGGAATCCTACTCCTGGCTCCTCAGGGGGGACTGCCCTGTGCATTATGAAGAAGCAGCTATACATTTAAGAGTTAAATTAAAGATCGAATACACCCTTTCAAAACAAGGTAGAAAAACAGGATAGATGACAGGCACAATCAAACAAACCATGAGAAAACATTTTACTCTGAAGAGTATAAAATGCTCAAAAAAAAGCATCAGTAAGAGGTGAAACAACTGTGTACAGCACAAGGATAATGGCAGAAGGCTGCAGCAATTTAATCCAAGAGCCGTACCAGGGTTTTTTAGTACGACAGACGTCCAAATGAGACCGAGATCACCAAGGTTCTAACAGAAGAATTATATATCTGAAATTCAACCTATGTCCATCATTATAAAAAAATTCAAAACAGTTCTGTAGCCTTTCAAGGATGTCTAAGGGGCCAGTGACTGAAGTAGAAGAACCACTGAAAAATATTGTAGACCGCGGATACACGTTCTGTATGTACCCCGACGGGCTCATTAACGGAAGTATTGCGATAATGGTGCACAAAAATAACAGCAATCTTTGTTGCGAAACTTTACATCACACTGCACAAAACAGTGTCTGTTGCAATTCTCTGACATAAATGCAATTGTGCAGAAAATCCCAAATAAATTGAAAGCTTCATAACGGAGTTGAAGGTTAAAGTGCTGAAAACTCAACAGCGAGAGGTTTTAACAGAAATGTGCAGATAGCTCCTTGAAACACGGAACCTCTTCATCATAATTTTTTTTTTTAATTCTGTGAAACTTACAGCTCAGGTTACATAGATGTGGCACGAATAAACTTGCTCTTTAGCCCTTCAGTTCTGATGAAGCCGATTTGGAAGGTGGTAACACCACAGCACAAGTAGGCCATTATCTGATGTTTTGCACCCGTAGCTCAGGAAAAACAGATTCCGGACTTGTGGCTTTTGCTGTATGGCTCTAGTTCTACCTTGACACTACCCGTGATCCATAAAAATATACATGGCTAAAAAAATGGGAGGAAGGACTACTACCATACATGAATCACGGGATCAAAAGAACGCAAAGCACAGAGCGCAAAGAACAAAATGTTAAGATTTTATTTACAAAGCTTTTTTTTTTTTGACTTACAGAAAGTAAAAATGTTGCTACAACCTTGATTTGTGCAACAGGCAGCCATTCGAAAACCATGGCTTGCCAATCACAGCCTTTCGTTCTCCTTGTTGCTATAGCAATAATCTTACCGAGAAAAACAAAAACCAATAAAGAAAACAAACCAAAAACCAAAAACAAAAACTAGGAGCCCCCAACGAAATATTAAAAACGCTGACCCCAACTAAACATTGTTACCAACAGTCCTCAAACAGGATCACGCTAGGGATTGACAGTAGAAATTGTGGAATGCTGGATGGAACGTTGCTCTTAAGAAGATTCTCCAATAAGTTCCGTAGCTGCACTTCCACAGGGTCAGTTCATCTGATACAATACAGTTCATTTGAGGGATGGATGAAAAGAAGGAAGAATAAAAGTAAGTTGTGGGGAGGGAGGGGACCAACTGGGCATCTGCTCTTAATCGTCATCTTCGTCGTCTTCGTCATCTGCCTCTCGCTTTCTCTTTTCACCTTTGCCGGCTTGCTCTTCATCTGAAAAAAAAAAATGAAAGGAGTTACAGTTTCCCGGCAGGTCCCCAGTGCCAGCAGGAGGAACAGAGGAACTGAGCCTCATGCAGAGACCAGAAGGCTTATTAATATGAATGAGTGCAAAGACTTACAAAACCTAGTACAGGGAAATGGGGGCTTGTAGGTATTTTAGAATCTGTTTCATGAATTTTAAAACCCACATAATACTTTACTGCATCTTAAGGCTGTTTGCATGATTGCACAGTACGCTTTCGAAAAGCAAATTCTAGTCTGCATGCAGTCAAAATCCTTAAAATCATCCATTTTAAATCCCAGCTATAGAATAGGTTTTAACCATTCATTTAGACAGCTATGGTTAACAATATAAAACAAGTAAAAAGACAAAAAAAATCAGTGATAGAATTATCACTTTTGCACCCCAAATTCAAACTATATTTATATATAGAGAGAGAAATGCAAAGTACTAATTTCAGCTTTAGAATGCCTTAAATCAGTTGTTAGTTTGAAAACTCAGTATAAAAGCTGTATTCACTGTGCAAATGAGTCACATACAGCCCTCACCAAGACAAAAAACTAAGCACAAGACCAGCCAAATCTGGTACAAAAGCTTTTATTTTCCTTATGGAAAGTTTTTCCTCATTTACTGTTTAATGCAGAAATTCAATTATGTGCATCTCTTTCCCTTTAACTTCAATTAAGGTAAGGAATAAAACAACCGCAACTTAAAAATCAGCCCCTTCTGCTTTTAAAACACTAGTCATCTCTCGTCTAAGCCACTAAACTGTAAATAGTGGAAAACAATTAATCTTTTTTGTCAAAAGTGTTCAAGTAAACATACATGCACATCTGTAGGATTCTAAATTCATAACACACTTCAGACAGCAGATAACAGAAAAGCATACTCATTTCAAACTCTGAACTCACCTTCATCGTCCTCTTCCTCATCCTCATCTTCTTCATCATCTACCTCTCCATCCTGTCCAAAGTCTTCCTCCTGGAAGTCATGAGTTCAGTTAGATTGGGAGACCTGAGACTAACAGGAATGTTTTCCTGGATCGGGTTATTTTTCAGAATTAAAAATAAAAAAAAATAGTGGGTTTTAAGACTTTTTTTCCATGGCTTTGGAAACCTTTGGCAATAATCAGTGCTTGCAGACAGACTGCACAACAGCACCTTGGTGTAGACACTAATCGTGCTGATAACGTTTTAAACAAACTGCAATTTCAGTTAAGAGTTAATAAAGAGACAGAGAAGTGGTGTTCATTTCAAATGAGCATCAGTTTTTAAAAGTTTGTGTTAAGTGGAATGTCATCTTAACTAAAGACCTCAGTTCATTAACATAGCTGAACCGTTTTCCTCAAACTTTTAGTTTTTTTAATTAAGAAAGTGAAAAACCTAGAAACCTGCTGTCCAGCCAAACTAACCGTTCCTGTGTCTGTATCTGCTCATATTTTCAAAAGCTGGTTTTGCTGAACACACTGCACCCTTCACAGAGGGTCCACAAGGTCAACATTAAACAGATTTACAAATCCCAGGAAAGCACATATTTCTTTTCAACATATACACAAACAGACATATAAGAACGTACTGTAGGAATAATGAAAACAAGGAAAAGGAATAAAAACTAGAAATCTAGCAGGGAATCTAGAAAACAGACAGTAGGTGGCAATAAAGGGGCAAATCACAAGGAAAAGTACCACATCCCCAGTCTGTCAGTAAGGGAGTTGATCATAGAACAAAAAAACAGAGGCCAAAGTACTGCTTTTAGCATGGCCATAAAACATTACCCTTACAAAACAAGACAGTGTAACTGTGCTTCCTTTATCCACAGTAAATGTTCTACACTAACCTCTAAAAACAACTGCAGAAACTCACAAAACCTGGAAATTACATTAATCTACAAGTCCTTGGTCAATCCTGCAATTTGTTTATAAATTCTGTTGAGTCCAACAAAGGAGACACGATCCAGGTGTGTATGAAGCAGGCATTACCTTTTTTCCCCCCAAACATCACACCTGGCTTGACAGACAGAAAGAACAGTCAATGCTATAAGAAAGGTATGCCAAATACCCATAAAAGATATTCTTTCAGGGATAATAAGCATTTGTATCATCTCTCAAGGGTGACAGTGGCACAATAGTTAGCATTTCTGCCTCGTAGATCTGGGGACCTGTGTTCAATTCTAGACCTCTGGTGCTGTCTGTGTTAAGTCTGTATGCTACGGGTTTGGTCTGGGTGCTGTGGTTACCTCCCACAGTCCAAAGACATATTGGTAGGTTAACTGGCTTCTGGAAAAATCGGCCCCAATGTGAGGTGTGTGCTTGTGTCTGTGAGTGCCCTGCAATGAATGGGGATCCTGTCCCGACCCTAAATAGGATGAAGTGGTTAGAAAATGGATGGATGGATTATCTCTGAATCTCATAACACTAAACACAAAGAATTATGTTACCAAAAACATTTCACTGCAAGCAAATCAGTACGTCAAGTTCCCAAACTATGGAGCTACAGCACTCTTAAGTAGATGGACGATTAAACGAAATACCGGACGTAATGCATAAGGAAAGCTTTGGCCCTGCTTCCTGTAGGGCCAACTAACCCAGGGGAGCTACAGGCCTCCGAACTAGTACACACTGCAACACAGTGCCAACTGCTAAGTTTCCAAAACTAAAAATAAATACTTGTGAATTTTCTGTGTAAGTTGATCAGGTCCGGACGATTTTACAGGTTTGGCAGAGCAGCTGGAGGAGTGATTTTAAATAAATGACTTTTCTTCTGCAGCTAAAAATGGAACTGGGTGATAAGAGTTTAACAACAAATTCAGTGTTCCGTTGCTTTTGACTCTGTGAATTCTTTTGACCATCCTTCACAGTCAAGAACACAGAGCTGATCCGGCCCATGACACCATCGCCAATCGTTCCCATTTCCCCTTCCGCAGCTATCATATGGTTCTCTGTACTTCATAACAAGGTGCATGAAACTCAAGACCACAAAACAGACAAACCATGCAACCCCTATACTTATTAAAAACTGTGTACAGCTCAGCTGTGATTTGTATGTGTCCGGAGATCTCAGGGTGGTTATCCTGAACAAGCTGCCAAGACATGTTGTTAAAGTTTATAGCCCGGGAATCCTCAGGAAGTGGCTGATTAAGATTGTTAGGTCAATGTGTTGCTGGCAACCAAGCGAGGATGATGGCTTCCTTTCACTTATGCTCTTAAACAAATAACTCTGACACCTTTGGGAATGCCAGAAATCATACAAGTGGACACAACTATGCCTTTTTGTATTTATACTTGAATATATGTGGATCCATATATATTTACTTGTTTTTGAAAACATAATTGATAATTAAATATATGGCCAGATGGAGTTGTTTATTCCATGATTCATTTTTTTTTAAATAACGGCTACCTCACACGTGGAATGCCAACAACAAAGGAATAATACTGGAGTAGAGAAAGTATGATCCAAGCCACAGCGCTGGTCTTTTTGAATCTGGAAGGTTTTTCTGAGCTTTCCGCCTCTGCCAGGCTTGCTTAAACCCTGCTATTTCAAACTCTCTTTCCATAGGGGATTTGAACGTGCAAGATTCCTGGAAATAATGCCATCATGCTACTCTGGTACTGTACTATGAAACCCATTAATGATACATAATGACTATCCTACCTGCAACTATATCTCTACCGCAGTCACTCTAAAGAATACGCTTTGACCCTACCTCCTCCTCTGCACTGACCTCCTCTTCATCATCCTCGCCTTCTCCTTCCTCTTCTTCATCCTCATCGTCCTCGTCTTCCTCTTCATCAAAATCCTCCTCCTCCCCATCTTCCTCCTCATCCTCTTCCTCCTCACCCTCTGCTCCGGAGAGAAAAAAAGCATTATGGGTGTGACATGAGGATGCATGTTAAACCACTCGCCAGCATGGCACATATTCAGGCGCTGCCCTTTTACGGCAGTGACTTGGAACACTGATGCACATTTGCATAACTCGCATCAGTACCCTGCAAGCTAAATGAACAGCTGAATGGCCTAGTCTCATCATATCTAATTAATCACATGCCTCTTTTATTCGCTGTCCATCTCTGGTTTTACATACCGGTCTGATCTTATCTCAGAGATCACTGGAAACCAAAATCCATTCAATTGCCCCAATTGAGAGTATGCTGCACCAAACTGGTTTGATCTTTTTATTTCCCCCCCCACAGGGTTCCACTTCAAGATCGGGAAAAATAACACTGTCAGACAAATTTCCAGTTGGTGTGAATTTAAGGAAATATAAACCATCTAAAACGACGATCTATATGACCCAAGAAGCACCAAATATCATAAAGAACTGTGTATTAACAAATGCTTCAATACAACCTCTCAAGTTATGCATTGTCTTACTTTAAGGGAATGTAGAGTTATTAGTCCAATAACCAAGAACGCTGCCTTGAATTTGTGAGCTCTTCTAACTATATTCACCGCATAGTGGGCACAAATACACATCACACTCAGCCACCAGCCATATCACCCTGCAGCTCAAGACTGAATACCCACTGAGGGTCAGTAGGTGTGAGCCTGGATGGGAGACCTCCTGGGGAAAACCTAAGGTTGCTGCTGGAAGAGGTGTTAGTGGGGCCGGTAGGGGGCGTTCACCCTGCGGTCCATATGAGTCCTAATGCCCCAGTATAGTGACAGGGACACTACAGTTTAAAAGGTGCCGTCCTTTGGATGAGACATAAAACCGAGGTCCTGATTCTCTGTGGTCATTAAAAATCCCAGGGCGTTTCTCAAAAAGAGTAGGGGTGTTATCCTCGTTGTCCTTTGGCCTTTACCAATCATGGCCTCCTAATAATCCCCATCTATGTTCTCCTCCCCACTGATATCTGGTGTGTGATGAGCGTACTGGAGCACTATAGCTGTACATTGGTGGTGGTGGGGAGTCCCCATTACCTGTAAAGTGCTTTGAGTGGAGTGTCTAGAAAAGTGCTATGTAAGTGTGAGCAATTAATATTAATTACTATTATTAACTGTGCAGCAAGCATCCAGTGCAACAGGGAAAAAATCAGCTTCTCAACTAAACAGCATCCCCACGTGCAACACCTTCCGCCTTTCTGACAAAAGCCCGCCCGGGCTCTGCGCCAGGCTCACCTTCGTCGTCCTCCTCGTCTACGCCGTCTCCGTCCACCTCGCCATCCGAGTCGGACGCCTCCCGGTCTTCGAGGTCGTAGCCGTCCAG